GACAATGGAGGAGGGAGAAGGGACCCAGGTGGGGACAGTGGAGAAGGGAGAGGGGACTGAGGTGGGGACAATGGAGGAGGGAGAAGGGACCCAGGTGGGGACAGTGGAGAAGGGAGAGGGGACTGAGGTGGGGACAATGGAGGAGGGAGAGGACCAGGTGAGGATAGTGGAGGAGGGGATAGGACAAGGTGGGGACAGGTGGGAGAGGGAACTGAGGGTAGGGGGACAATGGAAAGAGGAGGGGACTGAGGTAGGGGACAATGAGAGGAGAGGGGCCAAGGTGACAGTGGGAGGAGAGGGAAACTGAGGTGGGGACAATGGAGAAGAGAGGGGACTGAGGTGGGACAATGGGAGGAAGAGAGGGGCCGAATGGTGGGACAGTGGAGAAGAAGGGGACTTGAAGATGGAAGCCATGGAGCGACGGGAGAAGGGACAAAGTGGGAACAGTGGAGGCGGGGCATGGGGACTAACATGGCAGCAGTGAGAAGCGGCTGGTTATGTGTGATGTGTGAATGTGGAGCTGAAAGAACTTCCTGTGGGTTAGACGTGGGACGTGTGAGGACAGAGGACACAGGTGACTCTAGGATGTTGGCCTGAGCTCCTGGAAGGATCAAGTTGCCACGAAGTGAGGCAGGGCTGCAGGTGGGGCAGGTTGTGGGTATCAGGAGTGCGAGTGTGGACGTGTGCATCTGCGATGCCTCTTGTGGGAAGGAGGCGGATTTGGGCCTCTAGGAGCCGGAGGGTGGCCTGGATGGAGGCCTGTGTCTGAGCATCGTCTGCCGGTTCCTGGTTTTCATCTGTGGATCTCCAAGCGGGGCGGGGAGCAAGAGGAGGGAAGAGGCACAGGCCTGAGAAATTTTACCCCAGTGTTGAGAGGTTCTGGGAGCAGGAGGAGGGGGGCCAGTGGGACTGGGCCGTCAGGACAGGCTGTCCGAAGCCTCACGGGGTCCTGCTCAGGAGGGTGTCCAGCCAGGCCGCGTGGTGCTCACGGCTATGCCAGCGGGGACTGAGGGTTTGGTAATACGGAGGCCGCAGGTGACTGTCCAGGAGCCTTCTGGGTGAAGTGAAGGAGGCCACAGCCCCAGTGGAGTAGATTCAAGAGAGACCCAGGGGAGAGGAAGTGTAGACCGAGGGTGGAGGCCACTCTAAAGGGTGAAATGGTGCTGGGGGTGTGGGAACGGGAGCCATGCTTTTAAATTTAATTACGAGAGAAGCTAGAGCGCAGCTGCGTGCCCATGGGAACCCCCCTAATAGAAAGGACAGCGCTGCTTCGGAGAATGTTAGAACAGCGTCCGTCCTAGGGGGTGGGCGGCTGGGGGCTGCGCAGCCCAGGGCAAGAATGGCGGAGCTTATCTGCCCCCTTTCTGAGAGAAGCGCCCAGGCCTCTGCCGGAAGAGCTAAGGTTCCTCCCACGAGGGGTAGCAGCGGTGTGGAGCTGTGCACCTCGGCCGAGGCTGATTCAGGTCTGATCAGTTCCTCCCCTGATTCAGGTCTGATCAGTTCCTCCCGTTCACTCCTACGGACCACAGGGTTCCTACCCTCGTCCTCCTCCCTGTGGCCTGGAGTGGGTCTGGGCTTCAGACTCCTCACTCATAAAATAGGATAAAAATAACGGATCCCCCCTCTCACATTTGCAGGGCTTGTGACAGGAGTACAAACGGTAGTCCATGCACCATGCGAATAAATAAAGTCATAAATAAAGCCAAGCGAATGCCTTGTTGAACACAGTTCCCCACCTGCTACGTTGCTAGATACATCTTCCTGACAGCCTGGAAGCCCAGGGTTGCCCTTAGAACCCTGGGGCTCCTTGGCCAGAATGGGGTGTCACAGCCCCAGGCAGCCTCCTTCCCCGGGCCTGTCACACCGGGAGGAGCTCAGGATAAGCAGGTGAGTGCCTGGCCCACACATCCAGCCTCCAGCCATGCTTCCTGGTGACAGCTGTGCCTTTGCCCTGCAGCCTGCTGTGGTTTGCTCTTGGGGAGTCGACCCGGAGCAGAGGCCTCTGCAGGCCTCAGAAGTGGGCTTGGGCTACTTGGGTGGGGAATTCTGCGCTTCCTGAATCTGGCAGCGTGATCTCGAAGTGGTGTCCCTTGGCCTGGAGGACTGCTCACCTGGAAGCCGGAGCACAGCCAGAGGAAGGCCTGCATGGGGCCCTCTAGGGTGTGGTCACAGGGTGGGGCTCCATGGAAGGGTTGCTGTGAGGACTAAATCAGATATTTTAAGCCAAGGACTTAGCATAGTGCCTGACACACAGTAGGTGCTCAATAAAAGCAGTGTCTTTTTTTTTTTTTTGAGACCAGATCTCACTCTGTTGCCTAGGCTGGAGTGCAGTGTATGATCATGGCCCACTGCAGTCTCAACCTCCCAGGCTCAAGTGATCCTCCCAACTCAATCTCCCTAGTAGCTGGGACCACAGGCATGCACCACCATGCCCAGCTAATTTTTAAGTTTTTTTTTTTTTATAGAGATGAGGGTCTCACTATATTGCTCTGGCTGGTCTCAAACTCCTGAGTGTAGGTGATCCTCCCACCTCGGCCTCCCAAAGTGCTGAGATTACAGGTGTGAGCCGCTGCACTTGGCCCTTCATTTTTTTTATATTATATTATATTATATTATATTATATTAATTTTTCAGACAGAGACTTGCTCTGTTGCCCAGGCTGGAGTACAGTGGCATAGTCTGGGCTCACTGCAACCTCTGCCCCCTGGGTTGAAGCAATTCTTGGCCTCAACCTCCTTAGTACCTGGGATTAGAGGTGTGTGCCACCATGCCTGGCTAATTTTTGTATTTTTAGTAGAGATGGGGTTTCACCGTGTCGGCCAGGTTGGTCTTGAACTCTCAACCTCATGTGATCCACTGGGCTCAGCCTCCCAAAGTGGATTACAGGTGTGAGCCACCGTGCCCAGCCCATTTTTGTTATGTTTCTAATCCTAGTTTTTACAGAATTAGGCAGGGCCTCCCACAACCCGGCTTGGCTGTCTCTCCACTCTCACCCCTCCCGCAGCCTACCCAGACCCTGTGCTCACTGATGGTGTCCCCAGCCCCGCGCCTCCCAGTGCACATCTGCCCCTGGCATTCTGGGGCCCAGGATGCTGTCCCTCCTCTTGGCTGCCACGTGGGCTTCTCGTGCCTGTGCCAACATTTCTTCCTAGGAGAGGTCCTCTGGATTCTTCCCCTGCCTCTGGGCAGGTAGGTCAGCCTCTCTGGCCTGTGTGAACCCGGGCGGCAGTCTCTTGCTCTGCAGGCAACTGTCCTATCCTCGCCAGACTCTGGGCACCTGGGGGCAGGACTTGGGTTTATTCCTTTGGCTCCGCTCTGCTCTGCCCAGCCTGGCGGGCAGCCACGCGCCAAACTGATTGTTGAGTGGAGGAATTTAACTTGGTGTTCAGAAATCCCTGCTGGAATTTTCCACTGAGATAAGCAAGGATAAAGGTTTGGAGGCAAGGCAGACACCACAATTCCTGCTTATCTCAAAGGCCTTAGGAGATAAGGACATTCTGGAAGAGCTGACCTTGGATAATTATCACAGCTGCGTTTGATTCTTCACAGCAGCTCTGCAAGAAAACCCCAAGGAGGAGGGGGGCGCCGCTTCCCCACAAATCCCCTGAGGACTTCAGCCATGGTTCCCTGGCCAGAGTGGGGTCACCTGGTCACTTCTGCAAGAAAGAAGATACGAATGCATTAACAACCTGAACCACAGTGGGGATCTCCTGGTAAGGAACAAGGAGGGCACGGATCTGGGGCAGGCCGTTTACAATGCCTGTTGCAAGCCCTGAGAGCTGCTTCAACATCTCAGAAATGTTTATGCGCAGTAGGCCTGGCTCTCCACGCAAACCCAGGGCAGTAAAGGGTGGAAAGTTACAAAGGACTGACTTGGCTAGAAAGGAACCCACATGGGATAAACTGTCTCAGAGAAAAATCCCGTCACTGTTGATATTTGAGCAGAACCCGAGACATCAGGTGGCAGGAGAGCTGCAGAGATTCTTCAGCCCCTGGACGGGCACTCAGGCCACGTCCACCCAGGGGGCCTGTCCAGCTCCACAGTGATATCATTTTGCATGTTTTGGAAGGAGAAAGTGTGCATGCCTGCATACGTGGCCTGTGTAAGTGGCATTGCGAATATTCTATCAATGGTAACACAGAAAAGTTGATAAAATGCCTAGAGAAAAATTTAAAAGTTACTATGTGTTAAAATCATATTAATTCTGATCCTGTAAGTAAATTGCTTATGTTCCATTTTGCCTAATTTCTACTACAAGCAATGATGATTGTGCACGATACCACATCTGCATGGCATTATGGATACTGTCTGGATGGTGAGTCCTGACCCGCCTTCCTTGGGGTTTGTGTCTGAGCTTGATGTCCCACGTCCCCACGGAAATGCACCTTCTGATTTACACAAGCGTCCTGCAGGCTTCCTGCTCACACTGGATTCCCACATCCCCACGGGAATGCACCTTCTGATTTACACGCGTGCACCGCAGGCTTCCTGCTCATGCCGGATGACCCTCGGTGCATAGAGTGATCGATCGGTCACAGAGGCTGGAAGCGGAGGGAGGTTTAGAACCATCTGGCCCAGCCCCCTTACTTTGGAGGTGAGTAAACTGGTGTTGGGAGGAGGAGACTGTTTCCTGAGGGAGGATCTGGCAGGTTGCTGCCAGATGACCTCTGTGCAGGAGGCGAAGCTCTGAGCCCCCAGACCCTCTTGAGTATCTGGGTTCTGGCCTTTCACTGTACCCTTGGGCCTTCACGAGGAGGCTGTCAGGTTGCTTGAGATCAGCATGAGCACCGGGCCCTGCCACACTGACCAAGCAGGAAGTGGGCTCCGGCAGTGGGTCCCCTGCCACCCGCCAGCAGTGTGCCAGTGGGCTGCAAAGTCACCTGGGCTGGGAGGGCCTCCTTTGTGTGAACTTTGACTCAGGCACTGTGGGCGACGGACTCTGGGATGGGCCCCAGGATTCCAAGCCCCTGGTGAACATGTCTCTCCCCTTGAGTGTGCACAGGGCTGTGACTATGATGGTGTCACTCCTGAGATCAGGTTATATTATATGGTGAAGGTGAAGGGATTTTGCAGATGTAATTAGGGTCATTCATCAGTTGACTGTGAGTTGAGCAAAAGGGAGATGGTGCTGTGGGAGCCCACCCCAATCAGGTGAGCCCTTTAAAAGAGGATCTAGAAGTCAGAAAGCATCTCTTGCTGGCCTTGAGAAAGCAAGCTGCGCTGTGTGAGGGGCCTTGAAGGGCTGAGAGCAGCTGCCCACTAACCCCAGCAGGAACGGGGACCTCAGCCTACTGAGGGAACTGAATTCTGCCAACAAACCTGTGGGCTCAGAAGAGGACCCTGAACTCTAGAAAGACCCCAGCCTGGCCAGTGCCTTGACTGCAGCCTGTGGGAACCTGAGCAGAAGACGCAGCCAGGCCGTGCCCCGACTCCTGGCCACAGGAGCCGTGAGGCCATAAATGCGTGTTATTCTAAGCCGCCGAGTCAGTGGGTATGTGTTACACGTCCAAAGATAACTACACGGGCATTGACCCTGTCCACCCAGGGGTGTTAGAGGGGCTCTGCTGGTTTTACCCCAGGCCATGGTGAGAGCCACCGCGAACACAGGGCTCTCTTCTCCGCGCTGCAGAAGCTCCGTGCCCTGTCCCCTGCCACAAGTCACGGGCTTTCTTCATGTGTTTTACCTCATGTTAATAAAGGAGATCTTCTCCAGGGGCTTGATCTAGCGGGAAACAGAGGAGAGGGGGGTTTTAAATTTCAGTCCATCCAACCCTGTAGATTTGCTGTCCTACAGTAGCGTAAAGGATCACCAGGTAAAACGCTGCTTCTCCCGGATGCCGCTGCCTTGCCCCTCTCTCACGTGGACACTGGTGCCTGGGTTGGGAGTGTGGCCGGGGACTTCGTGGCAGTGTGGGGAGGGGATGTGTTGTCCTGGGACATGTGAGAGGTCCTTGCTTCCCCGTGGTCTCTGCTGGAAATGCCTGCCTGGACCGCCGGCCTCTGGGGCACCTTGGCCCTGCCTGCACCAGCCCCTGAGCCTGCCTATCTTGGCGTCTCCTTCCATGGTCCCGTCCTGGCCCTCTGGGCCTCTCTGCACCCTCACCGGTCACTTCTGTGATCTTACACATGTGCATTGCTCAAGGGGTGGCTGGGGATGCCGCCTGGCCCAGCTCTGTGCTGTTTGGGGACTGGCCTGAGGGCTTCTAGGGGTTTCCTCCTTCTAGGGAGTTGGGACCCCCCCAACATGATCCATGGGCTGTTACATAATCACAGATGAGCTTAGCAGATTCCAAAACTCCTTTCTCTAGACAAGGCCTGGCTTTCAAACCTGCTGTCTGACTGTAGGCACAAACCTCCCATTTTGGGAGTAAAAAGCTGGTTCTTAACCATTTTGTCTTTTTAATTTTTTTTTTTAATTTTTACTTTTTGAGACAGAGTTTCACTCTTTTGCCCAGGCTGGTGTGCAGTGGCACAATCTCAGCTCACTGCAACCTCTGCCTCCCAGGTTCAAGCAAGTCTTCTGCCTCAGCTAGGATCATAGGCGCACGCCACCACGCCTGGCTAATTTTTTGTATTTTTAGTAGAGATGGGGTTTCTCCATGTTGGTCAGGCTGGTCTTGAACTCCTGACCTCAGCAATCCACCCAGCTCAACCTTTCAAAGTGCTGGGATTACAGGCCTGAGCCACCGCACTGGCCTCTTTTTGCATTCTTGCTATAAAATTGGTATTTGTATCTTCCTCCCATTCTACGCTCCCCCAACCTTGCAGGAAGGTGGATTCTTCAAGGGAATTAGGGAGAAGAGAAGCACATTCATGTGTCTCCACATTCAGCCTCCATCTCACGAGTTATACCGTTCCCAGCACGTCACCACCCCCAGACCTTTTGTTACCAGCCTGGGGGCAGAGGATAAGGACTCATTCAAAAAGAGAGATTCTCAAGTCTCCAGAGTGCCGGGGCCCAGCCAAGCATGCTGGCAGCTTCCAGGGAGGTGGCCACGCCCCAGGGGAAGGGGTTGCATGGAGGAAGCATCCCAGAGGAGGCTTGGACGTGGCAGAGCAACACTGGTCCTGTGTTAGGATTGGCTAGTCCATCCTGCAGGGATGAGGGGCAGAGCCTCAGCAGAAGCCCAGGCTGGTGTCCCCCCTCCAGCATAAGAGCCCCCGACTCCCACAGGGCGGAGGAACCACTGTGATGGTGGAACTTACTTCCCAGCAGCCCTGTGGGATGGGACCCAAACTAGAAGTTAGGGTGATTTTGGAGGACATAAAGTGAGCTGGTTTCCCATATACTGGCTGTGTGGAGTAATGTTCACGGCAACAGATTTCCGTCTCCTCAGCCTCAGGCCCAACCCTGGTACCCCAGCTGTACTCAGAGGCTCTGGAAATCTTACCTGGAGGAGACTCTTACGTTACCACCAAGCCGGAAATTTCCTGACTAGAGTCTCCTGAAGAATTTGGGAAGACCAGGAGGAAGTCCACCTCCCTGTCTCCTGCACCTGGAGTCTCCCATGTCCACGGAGGCCACATCCACACTGCCCTCAGGTGGCATCAGCCCAGGGTCTGCCCCTGGACTGGCTCACACTGAGTTGCCTGTGGGTCTAGTGTGGGGCTCAGCCAGGGTTGACTTCCAGCTGACAGTGGGAGGAATTAATTCTTTTGACTGAAATATTCTTTTCTCTTCTGGGCTGTTGGTTCTTCAAGTGCAACAAAGATTCAACACAGCTCCAAGGAAGGAGCCAAGAAAAACATTCTGTGCCAAAGTGAGACCCCGGAAGTGAAACCCCGGAACAAAGCTGAACAACGGGCTCCAGTTGGGTGCCAGCAAACTGGAATGTGACTTCCGGCAGCGCACAGGTGCTCCCAGGTCACCTGCTTTGTGGTCCAGCCTCCTGCTGAGTCACCTGCTTTGTGATCCAGCTTCCTGCTCTGCCCCAGGTGACCACATGACCACCGTGGACTTTGCCCTGAAATCTTTTGGGAGGAGAAGAGGCCTGACCTTGGGGCTGGGGGCCAGCGGGCACTGCCCTGGTCCAAGGCTGCTGCTCTTGACCTCTGCTCTGAGGCTGTTTTCCACTGGAACAGAAGCTCCTTCTGTCCTGCCTGTGGAGGGAAGCAAACTTTCCCCTGGGCCAGAGAGAGGAGAAAGGGGAGACAGGTAGCAACGCCGTGAACTGGTGATGATAGGCTCTTCAGCTCCCTGCAAGTGACCGGGCCTGGGGAACAGGTGAGTCATTGTTTGAACCTCTGTGCACTTTGCAGAGTGTCTGCCTCTGTGCGTGTGTGTCTACTTCTCTGTGTGTGTGTCTCTGTGTGTCTGTATGTGTGCTCACGTGTTTGTACCCATATCTATATTTGTTTGTGTCTGTGCATGTGCCCGTATGTGTATAATCAAAGGACAAAGCTGGGGCGGAGACTTCCTGGTTCAGATTTCTGATGGCTCACTAGGTTGGATTCCCAGAAGGGGATTCTTATTTGAATTTTTCTTCTGGAAAGTTCCAGTTTTAAGGTCTTGAAAAAACAAAACAAACAAACAAACAAAAAAACTCAAACTTCTGGTAATAAGAAGAACTCTTCAGGGAATCCATTTCAAATGACATCAGAATCCCCAATTTAATACCCAGTGATATCTAGGAAGCTTGTCAGGTTTTCTTGTAAACTCCTTTTTACAATCTACATTTTGTTTTCTTTCTGTATCAAATGGCTGCATTCTGAATGCAATGTACTGGTGTACCTCTCGTAATCTCGATATTCTTCACAGGCCCAGGCAAGGGTGGCACAGGAGTGCAGCTGGCAATAGACTCATCAACCAGACCCTTCCCTGGAATGGCCCCTTCCCCACAAAAAAGACTGATTTGGGATTTGCTCTCTTTTTTTCCCTTTAGTGGAAGGGAGGTGTAAGGAATGAAAAAGCCCCAAGTTAAGATTACTAGAGAAGCTCCAATCTTGAATATGGTGTCCCTGAAAGCATCTTTGTCTTCAATAACCTAATAACGTCTTTGACTACTAATAACCCCATCTTGATTAAATTCTGGAGGGGGCAGTCAGGCGCCACACTTTCAATTTTCTCTTTGGACAGAAGGCTCCAACCTTCCATTATTGAAAGCTTACAACACTCAATCAGACAAAAAGTTATATAAGAAAATGTTTACTGCAGTCTTATTACAGAGAAAAAATTAAAACTAAGTAAAAATCCAGTATTAGGAAAATGGTTCAGCAAGTTAAGATAGTTGTAGAAATGTTATGTGTCCACTAAACATGATTTTGAAGCAATGTGAGACTGCCTTTGGTATTACATTTAAGTATTTTTTACATATATGAGATAATACTTTTATGTTAAAACCATGGGTTTTGGTTTGTTTTTAGGAGTCAGAGAAAAAAGCTAGAAGTAGGCAAAAATACCTTTTGTGGTTGTATTAAGGGGGTGGGGTTATGGGTAGTTTATTTTTTTTTTTTGAGACGGAGTCTCGCTCTGTTGCCCAGGCTGGAGTGCAATGGTGGGATCTTGGCTCACTGCAACCTCTGCCTCCTGGGTTCAAGCGATTTTCCTGCCTCAGCCTCCCGAGTAGCTGGGATTACAGGCATGCGCCACCACACCCAGCTAATTTTTGTATTTTTAGTAGAGTTGGGGTTTCACTGTGTTGGACAGGCTGGTCTCCAACTCCTGACCACAAGTGATCTACCCGCCTCGGCTTCTCAAAGTGCCATTACAGGCATGAGCTACTGCGCCCAGCTCCAAAATAAAATAACCTTATTAAAGAGACATATCATTGTCAAAGGAATGAGATGCTGGCATCCCAGTAGTCACAGTGCATTCCTTCAGAGTCCACCTATTTCAGTTAATTCAGACAAGTTTTGGGTCACAGATTTTTTTTGACTTAGGAAATGTTTTATTAATCTGTACAAATAAATAGCAAAGAGAACTTGAAGGGGTATTTTTGTTTATTTTTAATTATTTTTTATTTCAATAGATTTTTGGGGAACAGGTGGTATTTGGTTACATGGATATGTTCTTCAGTGATTTCTGAGATTTTGTTGCGCCCAATACCTGAGCAGTATACACTGTAGCCATTGAGTAGTGTTTGTTCCCTCACCCCACCCCCACTACCCTTTCCCCTTCCACCAAAGGGTGGAGAGTCTGGGATGTGCCTTGACCTCTGAGAGCCTGTCCCCAGCTGACTTGAGCGGATCATCTGATGGACTCAGTTCCCACCCCAGGCACTCTCACTTTGTCTCAGGTGCTGTCTTAGTCTGTGCTGCTTTGACAGAATTCCTGAGACAGAAATGTATACAGAACAAAGATTTGTCTCTTATGGTTCTGGAGGCTGGGAAGTCCAAGGCCAAGGGGTCTACATCTGTTGGGGCCTTCTTGCTGTGTCATCCCACAGTGGAAGGTGAAAGGACAAGAGAACACACAGGCTCGTGGACGTGCAAGAGTGCAGCAGTGTTAATCTGTGCCGCGCATGGATTAATGAGAACAGAGTCCTCATGACCCAACCACCTTCTGTTAGGCCCCACCTCCCAGCATGGTTGCACTGGGGACTAAGTTTTCAAATCTGCTTTTTGGAGGATCCATGCAAATCATAGCCAGCCCCCAGGAAATCATCCTCAATCCAGGAGGATATTTCAAAGCACAGGTGCTGTGTTATGTGCTCTTTGTGCTTGGCCTCATTCATTCATTTCTTAGGTATTTATTGAGTACTTACTATGTGCTAGACACCATTCCCAGCTCCAAGGAAAACAGAATTCTAGCAGTGATTCCTAGTCTTGGCTGCATATTGAGATCACCTGGAGAGATTTTCTTTTTCTTTTCTTTTCTTTTCTTTTCTTTTCTTTTCTTTTCTTTTCTTTTCTTTTCTTTTCTTTTCTTTTCTTTTCTTTTCTTTTCTTTCTTTCTTTCTTTCTTTCTTTCTTTCTTTCTTTCTTTCTTTCTTCTTTCTTTTTTTTAAGAAACACAGATGGAAAACTTAATGTTATGTTTTTTATCCATCTCTGAAGCCAGCATCATACTTGATGGTGAAACTTGAGTATTTCCATCTAAGATGGGTTTCCAGGCATGTTTGGGATAACCACTCGAGTCTACTATGTGGCGCCCTTCTTCTCTGATGGGTAGAGAGCCCTAAACCCTCCTGTTAAGGACTCTGTGACTCTCCAGTCGCTTTCTGCCTAGAACGATCTTCTTGGTATCTAGGACCCCATCCTATTTGTTTCAAGACTGATTTCAAACTTGATTACTTCTCCTCTTATCCCTGCAGGGCAGGGCAGACCAGACCAGTCTGTGGCCGTGGCTCCTTACTGGGGGCAGTGAGGGCATGTGGATAGCTTCCAACCACTCCTGCTTTTTCTTCTTTCCTTTTCAAAGTTCCTCCCCTTCCCTCTTTAGGGAGCCTCCCTCTTGCCCACCATGGTGAGGGAGGGAGATGAGACTCTGATCACAGGACCAGTTGCCCCCGATGGGTTTCATATTGATTGTGGAGAGCTTCTCTTCCTAGATAATAAACAAGCACCAAGTGATAACATTAGAACATTATCAGAATGTCACCATTTTGCAACCCTCTAGTGAAAGAGCGGGTCGAAGTAATGGTCTTCAGTGACTGCCAACATCACAGAGAGACAACTGGACATTATTTGCCTTCTGTGGGAAGTGCATACACACTCTCATGGCAATCTTGCCAAAAAATAGCCTGTATCTAATCAGGTTTATATCCTGAACCACCACGTATCAAAAATACAAAGTTCAGAGGACTCCATTCAATAACACAGGGGTGCAATCAGCAACATCCGTACTGGAAATCTATAAGACAACCTGATTTCTTCAACACGTGAACTGCAAAGAAAAAGATGCCTGTATCTGTACTGAGATTTGCAGAGGATTGGATGCCTGGGATCTGCTTTACATTAACCTGCTAGGGGGAGGTTTGGGAGTGTGAGTGACATGAATGGCTGAGCTGATTACTGGGGAAGAGGGAGGTGGGTCCATGGGCCCATCAGACCATTCTCTCTATTGTGGTGTGTACATGAGAGTTTTTATAATGAAAAAATATGCAAGGGTCACCCACATTTATTTTGACCACAAAATTGGTTTTCTCTGGGGCATACCACTGTGGATTCTGAGGCTTTAGACACAATAGGAATGTGTCTATGATGTTTTGAGATCATTGAGACACCAACTTTTTAGGTAGATTTTTTTCTGAAACACCAACTTTAATCCATGAACAACCACCCAAGAAATGCTCAGATGCTTTTTACCTCTCCATGCATTAGATACTCTGGGGACAAGTAATAGATTTGTAAAAATTCAAAGTAATGGAAGGTGAACAATAAGCCCTAAGACCTCCACATGTAATCATTGCTTTTCAGGGTCTGCAGTGACCTGTGCCTGGAGCTTTCTAAGCAAAACTCCTTTTGTTCCTTACCACAGACGTAAAAATGGACCTAAAAACTGCAGATGGGGAGATGGGGCATGGGGTG